AACAAAAATCCAGTGAATGGGTTTGCGTAAACCCACGTTAAGATAAACATACCTTTGGCCATAAGTAGCGATAGGCTTTCCGTCTGCCGCCTGTAGATTTAAAACAGGCTCGTGTAGCCTGTCGTCGGAATTCGCTGGGAGAACGCTAACCTCTGCGCCAGTATCTACGAGGTAGCGAACTCTAGTTATCAAATCAGTGACATATAAAAGACGGCTATGTTCGCCGGCTACGGTCGCCGTTAACGCGTGCCGGCTTGAAAGTTTCCCGAAACGTTCTTCGCGTCGACGGATTTCGCGTTGGGGAAATTGCAGGATTTTCTGAAATTTCTGGCAGACTTTCCGTACTGGTTATGGTACCAGCACCAATCAGGATTATCCGTCTCTCGAGTTCTAGATACGGATCGCCTACGTGATGTGCTTCTCCGCGGAGTAAGTGATCGTTTACGGTCGTTACCGAGTTTGAGATAGCGCGTAAGTGTATGACATAACTGTGTTATGTCATTCTGGGTGGTTTGAGGCTTTTCTTTGACTGAAAAAACCTCGGCGTTAGGAGACCTAGTGATCTCGAGAATGCGATCGGCAGATGCCGCTAGTTCGTCTACGGCGTTGTTTTGGAACGAGACCAAAACAGCTTGCACCTGTTGAGGAAGTTTGGATAAGAAAAGTTGCTTGAATAGGCCGTCATCGAAGGTTCTTTGGCCAATGACTTCTCGCATTCTTTGCAACGTATCTGTGGCAGAGCCGTGTTGCAGGTCGATGTTGTTAAGGAGTTGGTCTAACCTTTGTCGATCGGTTAGATCTCCGCGTTTAAGGATGGCCTGCTTCAGTTCTTGGTATGGATCAGAAACATCACTAGTAAACATACTAGGTGTTACGTACCTGTTAAATTCGCGCGGTAGTGCCTTGACTACTGCGAGGAATTGTGCACATGCATCGTTCACGCCGTGCTCGTAGAAGTCGGCTTCTGCATAACAAAACCAGGCTTCGATGTTGTCTGGCCAGAAAGGCATAAGTTGGAAAGAGGGTGGGGACACAGTCTTTAACTTAAATGCTTTAGGGGTCTGTTCAGTCATAGTAATATACCAAGTACGAAAAGTGAACAAGTGGCAAATATATATATGAACCCAAAAACACGGGAGAAAAAATATCACAAAAAAAAAGAAATTAAAATAAGATAATGATATATAAAATCACAAAAAGGAACAGACTCACAGTTTACAATATGGTGTACCAGATCACGTCGGGCTCACCAATGAAGATGCCACAGGGTATTCGGAGTTTGACAACGCTTTAACCAGTAACACCTTCTAATACGAAGCGCACCCACCAAGTAAAATCAAAAGACAGAAGCGAGGAGATCGAAGATATATTTGATAAGCTATCAATATATCGAGGATCGTTGGCACTAATCTGGCTAGCGATTGAGGCAGATGTTGAGCACGGCGTTCCCACACGTGATCTGGTGCGGATGCTTGACCGAGCGCCTTCAGCTAGATGAGTCCACTAAAACTGTGGTCAGCATCCAATGTCGAAAACTTACAGAGCTATTTGATTTTGGGGAATTATTTACCGCTACAAGCCAATATAAGCAAAATTTGGAAGTAAGTCATTTTAAACAAAGAACAAGCGACAAAGTAAGCGATTTAACACCACTTGACAGATACGACACCTTTTCTAGTGGGAATACGATTTGATCTCAAACACCTAAGACGCAACCACGTGAGAACTCACCCAAGCTGTGATTGGACAACTTAAAATTTGCCTATATTAAGGTCATGGAACTGGTAAAATAGTTACATGCATATTGTAATTAGGCTCTCTCGAAAACCACATTTCCAAAAACACTAGAGTTTTAATTGGGTTATCATTTATGTTATGAGAGTGGCTCAATGATTCATATGAATCTGATAATAGGCCTAGATTGTCAGATAATTCCTTCGAGCAGGAATTAATTGATGCGACTATGTACGACCCGGACTTTGAATTATCCTTACTAGAACTCATACTCACTCATTATAAAGATGACGTTACGAACCTCGATTACATCAGTTCTTGGGTGAAAGTGATCATGTAGTTCTAAACTTTAACTTTCATGTAGTTGTCAAAAATGAGCACGCGTCAGCTCAGTCCAGACCTAACGTCTGGAAGACAAACATACAAGATATTAAACACTCAGAATCGTCAGTAGACAACGAAGCAAGAGTCCTCAATTGAAATGGCTTGGCACGTATTTAGAAATTTATACTTAAAAGTTGCTTCACCCCACATGGCTTGGACTACACCAAGGGGGCCGAGAAACTCTCCACCATGATTCAGTAGGGAGGTTCGCATCCTTCTCCGTTAAAGAAAAATGTGGGATAGATTTAGGTTACTGGGGACGAATAAGACAAATTCTCAGTATCGAAAAGCTAGGAGTACCTGTGTCTCGACCCTCCGTAAGTCTAGAAGGTTGTACGAAGAGGAAATTGTCAAGGGGTCCATAGAATATCCTAAACGTTTGCATTCGTATATAAACCAAAGAACAAAAAGAGGAAATATTCCTGCACTATGGGGAAAAAGTACTGCTTCATCTTTAGTGGAGGATGACTTTGGTGAGGCTCAAGTGTTTTCAAACAACTTTATCAATGTACATGCCATAGATACACCCTTCCCGTCAGTTCATACAAATTCCCCCACACAAACACTGGACAGCAGGACCATTAGAGAACTCGATGTCTTTGGTCTGCTAAATAAGCTTGACACAGGTAAATCCACGGGGTCCGATGAATTGCATCCTAGGCTACTAAAGAGATTATCTAACTTCGTTGAGAACCCTTTAAGTATATGCTTTAAGCTATCCGTAACGCAGGGTCGTTTACCAAAAGACTGGAAGAACGCCATAGTAAGCCCTGTCTTCAAAACAGGTGCGAAACATAAATCTGAGAATTACCGACTAGTAAGCCTAACTAGTGTAGTTGTTAAAATCTTAGAAAGGATTATTCGGAAGGGGCTGTTTAGGTACCGCGATGGAAACTGGATCCTTTCGGCAAAGCTGCATGGTTTTAGAATAGGTTGTTTTGTCTCACAAACTTATTAGTGGCCCGTGAAAAATGCTGCGCTCTTTAAGACCAAAAGTTACATGTAGACGTAGCATACATTGTCTTCAACAAAGCTTTTGATAAAGTTGCACACAATCGACTCTTATATAGGTTAAGAAATGTCGGGGTCGGAGGCAGTCTACTGATGTGAATGAAAGGATTCCTAGTTGGGCGCCAAAAAGGGTATGGGTGAACTCATAGTTGTCTAGCTGGGAAGCTGAACTTAGTGGAGTGCCGCAGGGTACAGTTTGGGGGGCCAGTGTTATTCCTCTTGTGCGTTAATGACCTTCCTCATCTACTATCATCATCAGTCTTGCTATATCTTGACGATGTCAAGATATGGAGAGCGATACGACGTAAGAGTGATAGCTTAGAACTCCCAAACGACCTGGAGAAATAATAATAATAATTTTATATTCTGAAAAAATGATAATTACAGAATTCACGCTAGTTTACAGGCATGATCAATTTGATATAAATAATATCATAATATGTACAGAACAAACATGTGATATGAGTTTTAAGTTTACTAGTTGAGTAATTGTTTAGGTATTACAGCGATCCAATGCATCAGCCGGGAACATGTAATATTTCTTAACTGGACAGCCTGTTGATTTATGAACGGTGTAATTAAGGTCATTTCTTGTGCCAGATCGATTTAATGATAAATATCTACAACTAGAGAAATTAAAACAAAAACAGAGAGCACGGAACAACAAAGCAGTAATTACCGAAATACGTCAATCAGATCTATCAAAATGCGTATGTCATGTGACACAGCGATATACTGTTGATGATATTCAAATTAGTTAAACTAGCTGGGGACGGTATTAACATAAAGTGACAGCAAGTTGGTGGTTTTATCCAGAGAATGCACTAATAAAAATGCCTAAACATTTAAAGTTCCTATAATAACACTTGTGGAGTGAGATACACTTGCATGTGCTAGAGCATTCAATGCATTTTCAGAGGAGCAGTATGCATCGATGCAATGTACAAATAATGGGAGTGATTTTATCGTACGGATATGTTCTGGTAGGTTATTCCAGAGTCTAGAACTTGGCAGTTGCTGATTAATACTTCCAAGTGTATTGTGATGCATATCGGTTATCGAGGTGCAGATACATACACGATAAATAACACTGAGCTACCTGTTGTCCAGACACAATGACTTAGGAGTCATCGTTAGCCAAGACCTAAAGACTACTGCACACACCCGTGTAGTAGTCGCCAAAGGTTTTAGAAATTTATGGTCAATAAGTAGGGCTTTTAGTCATGTCGATGACAAAAAGTTTTTGACCCTGTATGCAGTGTTTGTACCTCCTAAACTTGAGTACTGCATACAAGCGGCTAGCCCCTATCTAAAAAAGACTGAGCTTTTGGAAAAGGTTTAGAGAACATCAACTAATCTGATTCCCGGAATAGAGAAGCTCCTGTATGATGCTCAGCTGGCCAAGCTAAACATCGAAGAACTAGAGGCGAATTGACTACAGTTTTCAAATTACTTAGTGACAAGTTTGCACCTGATATATCCTCATTTTTCTAGTCTTCCAAGACAGACAATTTACGAGGACACTCCAAAAAAGTTCAAAAGCCCAGAACAAATTACTTGTCAGCTGATTATCGACTTTCCCACCGAATCATCAACGAGTGGAATTCATTAAATCAACAAGTGGTTGAAGCTCCACCCGTCGACTCTTCCAAAAGAAAGTTGGATCAACTGAGAGACAAACATTGCCAGGACTGACACAGGCCATCAATCTTCCTGTCCTTTCCAAACTGAAACTGAAACTGAAGTTATCGGACATAATGTGGCTGAACTTAAATAAAATCTAAGAACGTCTTGATTTGACCGCTTCTGCAAAACCTTATGAATTCTCGAGGTGAAGCACCAATCGTTTCACAACAGTTTGACCTTCAAGTACTCAATAACCTTCTTCAATCGACGATACCACTGAAGCGTTACTTCAAGGTTACCTTGGTGTCACTTCTGAGCCGTTTAGCTTAAATTTAAGCTAAATATATTAATATATTTGTATACTTGAAAGCATAGAAGTCAAAGTACGGACTAGTACTCACAGGTGTTCGGAGCACCGCTCTCCTAATTTGACATCTTTGAGTGTTCGGGATCCCGAACACTCATGATAGATCTTCGAAGATCTATCATGACTCCTTTTATATGAGTTAATTAACACATTACGGGGAAGCGTTTTTATTTGAGTAACATCATTCATGGGAATTGTAAAAATTAGTTCGTGTCTTTTGTTTTTTAGGCAAAGAAACCATCGTATTGTCTGTTTATACGATATTGATGACTAATCTATGTTTAGATCGCGTATCAACCTCATTTTTATCTCGTTTCATAAACTCCCCAATCAGGTTTGTTGTCATTATAGATGACAAGTCGTGCAGTTCCATACTATATCCAATAAAGTGAGAAGCTTTGCGAAAACTCCCGTCAGTCCAGTAACATATCAAGGTAGTGGTTATATGATAAAATTCCGACTGACTTGTAGTTTTTTTAGGTGGCCTTTCTTGTGGAGTTTTTGCAATTGCTTGGATTTCAAAGTCTAAGAAGCCGCGTATCATTACACTAGAGGAACTTGCTCAGCATAACTGTAAGGAACGTGGAGTTTGGGTCTCTCTTAAAGGTAAAGTGTACGATGTTACAAGTTTTGTTGACGATCATCCTGGGGGTGACAAAATTCTTTTGGCCGCTGGGTCTGACGTCTCTTCATTTTGGTCTGTTTATGCATTTCACTACCAGAGTCATGTTTTGAAAATACTAGAGAAGTACTATATTGGGGAACTTGACAAGTTGGTAAGAACTCACCATTTGATCTTTAGATTTTGAGTTTTTTTTTACATTAGTGGTTATTAGATATTAAACAGACATAATTTTTGGGAATGGCTCAGTTGTTAAAGCTCACAGCTAGTAGTCTTAAGGTCAAACAACCTAATAAAAAAAAGGAAAATCATAGGTTGGTTTACCTTTAGTGTACGTAAATGACCAAAGTTTGAATGTTAGGCTTGCAATTTTACTATACATTAACGCTTCGACCATTGAAAGTTCTCTCCATCATATTTTAGTGACAACTGTCTAAAGCAATTAAGCAGTACAAACTAGTTTTCAAATGGTCACTAAACTGAAATTCAAACCGATGTTGGAATTTGGGAGGTTAAACTATTGGCGCGTGACTATTTCTTGTTTTTGATAAGGTTACTTATCTTAAGTTTATGCTCCCGATAGTTACACAATTATAAATTCATTTGCGCGACAAAGCAACATTCTCTAATTCCAGTAACTGATATTAAATTGATATTTATAACTTGTCATAAACTAGTTTCAACCATATTACTTTATTACCGATCCGGGAGCTTATGCTGCGTAGTCTACCAGCACTGTTACCAGATTTGATAAACTGGTTAATATGGTTCATGGAGTTCGTAGTCAAAGTCGAATTTTCAGCAGTAACTAGCTCTTTATGTTAGCTTCCGTAATTTTATATATTGACTTAAAAATTGGATGTTAACTAACAAAATTTTGGCTAGACCATTAACAAAGCAAACATAAACTTAGGCTGTAAACCCCTTAAGTAGATGTAAACCATTCTAATGAGTTTTAGAAAACACTCGAAAATGGATCTAATGGTTAGGCGGTGTATTCACTTTAGAGAGTTTATGGGACTGAATTTACGTTAATATCATAGTTTCAGTTGCACTATATATTTTTTCATTTGTCGATCTATAAAGCCTTGAGATATTCACGCAACTAGTCAAAGTATTCCATACAGACTCCACAAAAGTTTGCTAACTGCGAAATGAGAAGAATGTCAATCGATAAGTGAACGCTGGAGTACGTTGTCTAGTAATAACTGCTCAGGAGACTCGGATATTGTATTAATCTTCCAAATAAAATGTCGGATAAAATATAATTATATATATCGTAGGCTACTGGAAGAACTCAGGTTTGCAGGTTTTTAGCCCTACAATCGATTAATATCTGACTGTTTGGCTTATTTCTTGGCCATTGTACACCTGGAATGTTTGATCTAGTTTTGTTCTTTATCATGACCGGAACCCGTTTGTTTGGACAATTTCCTTAGTACCCATTCATCTTTTGAAACGTCTGTTAGTATGTTTTTGACAGTCAGGACCTCTTTTTGAATAATTTAATGGCTATCTTGGTTGACTCTTTATTCAGTTTTTACAAACTCAAAAATTGCATAAGTATTCCACAAGCGTTGGTTTGTAGTTCGAAAATCACTTTATTCAGCCAATTAAAAGAGAATTTTTTCCTGTCTGCTGTACACGAATCGATGCAGAAATATAAATTTTCTTAATAGCTATTGCAAGTTGCTTGGCATTGTTCAGGCAATGGTTGTTACTTGATGAGTCATACTGTTGTAAATATTTATTGCATAACACAATATACATGCCTGAAACGAAATTTCCGGATACTCATATTATGAAGTGATTACTACTTTTCTTTCGTAGCCTACTTTTCTTCATTGACTGTGAAGGTAACTAGAGATATTTATTCAATTGTTTTAACTGGTGTTTTCTATTTCGTCTTCAATACTGATTTATGTATAATGAATCGCTACTTTTCTCATGGACGTACGAGATATAAAGTTTTCAGTATTCTTTGAAAAGAATGCTGATCTATCAGTTTATTTATAAATACTTTTTTACGTTTTATTTCTAGTTGAGCGTAAAGTTGTGTGTTATTCCGGTTGTTTTAGTATCTGTCAGTTATGATTAGGCAATTTTTCACTGTCTTCTTAAATATAAAGATAACTATTAGGTATTCACATTTATTACGGTATTTATTTCAAAGTGATTTTGAAAAATACTAACGTTCAATTATGTTGATTTTTGCTTGAGTGGTTTAAATGGTGAAAATAAGGATACACCCTCTTACTACCTACTAGTTCATAGCGTAAAATATTTTATCTTATATTTGCGAATTTTATTCAGAGCCTATAAAAGTGAGACATTTAAACTTCGCATACATATTAAAAACCAGTGCATTGGTATTTTAAACTGATCATGAGATATTTGTTTGTGAGTTTTGTAATTATCTTCCTAATTCTTTCTTATTAGGACTTTGTTGAAGAAGAAGACAATGAAGATATATATAGTTCTGATCCTCAGAGAAATCCGGATTTGAAAGTGGTTTCGCAACGTCCTTTTAATGCGGAAACTCCTCTTTCATCAATATGCAGCAACCCAATAACTCCTACTGATTTATTTTTTATAAGGAACCACCTTCCTGTTCCTGATGTTGATCCCGAGTAAGTTATTATCTAACTAAACCTGTTACAACTACCAAACTTAAGCATTGATTAGGCTCGTACATGAAAGTCATTCAAATTAAACTAGTACTTTCTACGCCTATATGACTAATCAATTAATCAGGAGTGATAAAGTCGTTTTTGATTGACAAAGTACCATTTTTACTGTTTTCTCAAACCTAACGCCGGTTATTAGAACTTATGAAATCAGCTTTTCATTAACAATAACAACACGTTCAATCTAGCACTTGTAAGAAATTGCAAAAGCAGAAATGACCCATTCATAATTAATGCTGTTATTATAAATTATCTCCAGTCAGTCTTAAGTGTTTCATCTCATTTTGTCATCAGGATATAAGTGCTCATATTTCTTAAGGAAATTACTTCGAAATTTTGACGTAATCTGTAAATATAAGTTAATTCCAAGTGTTTTTAAAATCCTTACTTGATAAAATCAAACTAGCGCTCGGTAAATTTATGTCACTTTTTAGATTGACATCCGTAAGATTCTTCTTATCATTCTTTTACTACATTTCATTTGCAACATGAAGGTGAACATTGATTCAATTCATGCAACGATGGTCACTGTTTTTCCTTATCCTACTCGCGAACCGTTATTTATTTATTTAATGAGCATTAAGATAAATTAAGTCTTGAAATTAAATACATACATGCGATGTATTCTTAATCTTCAACAGTTTAAAAGCATTCATCTGACACCATATTTAACGTTCTCGCATTTACACTTGTGTTCATTATGAAATCATCTATATGGCGTTGGTGAACCTTCGTTAGTGTCTAACACGTTCTTGCATATCATTATTTTTTATTAGATTGATTATCAATGCGATTCAGTTTTATAGTGTCTATTGAGAGAGCTTACATAGAATCCTTTGAGATTTTTTATTTAAAACTGCTTAATCAATCAGTTTATTATGAGAGAAGAAAATGTTTGCGCTGGGAACCGACGATTCGATATGATCAAGTATGGTATAATAAAGGTTGAATTATAAGAACGTAGTCCTTTATTAATCCACGTTTGTAATGAATTGTAATGAATTTAACAGCATCAATTGTATTTGTACTAGCGATACTATTGAAGTAGAGACGAACTTCTTGGCTGATACGTTAATGAAAAATGGTTATTCATTGAAGTTCATAAACCACTGGAAGGGTTGCAATACGATTAGACCTATGACGCTTCTGGCACGCAAAAAGCGAGTTTACATTATGTTACCATTTAGAGGCGACACAAATAGTCTCATGTTGAAACTGAGACTTAGATTAGCCATCAACCGGACATTTCGTGCAGCCCAAATTGTCATTATTGAAAAGATAAGGTCTGTTTCACCAAAAGTCCGAACAGCACGTAAGCGACTGTGTCACATCTCATTGTGTCTATCAATTTACATGTATGTGCGGAACACATACACACGGAAACTGAAACCCCTTTATGTGCTCAAAAACAATTTGTCCTTACCTTTAACCTACCCTGGTAATACTGATTTATTATCCAGAGTGGTTATCACGTTGTTTTTGTGTACTTTATTTATTTATTTATTCTTTGTTACGGCTTACCTTTAACCTGTCTAGTTGACCTTTTAATTTTCATATAGTAGTGTCTTAACAAGTGATCAGATTATTCGAAATGTATTGCGCAAATGTATCACATATTTCTGATAAATTTCGCCTTCTCATCGAATTATCGAAATACAACGAAATAAACAGTTACAAATTACTACTTCCATTGAATAAACTCAGAACTCATGGTCAGAATATATGATTCTAAAAAATTAAAACGTATATCACCATATTCTATTTTTATTCAAATTTACCACAAGTATAGTTACTTCAAGGTTTCCTTCTGAATGAGAATTTTGGAAACATTTTCATCTCTGATTGATTAAGCAGTTTTAAATAAAAAATCTCAAAGGATTCTATGTAAGCTCTCTCAATAGACACTATAAAACTGAATCGCATTGATAATCAATCTAATAAAAAATAATGATATGCAAGAACGTGTTAGACACTAACGAAGGTTCACCAACGCCATATAGATGATTTCATAATGAACACAAGTGTAAATGCGAGAACGTTAAATATGGTGTCAGATGAATGCTTTTAAACTGTTGAAGATTAAGAATACATCGCATGTATGTATTTAATTTCAAGACTATTAATAATTTATCTCACTTACTTACTTACGCCTATTACTCCTAATGGAGCATAGGCCTCCGACCAGCATTCTCCAACCCACTCTGTCCTGGGCCTTCCTTTCCAGTTCCATTCAATTTTTGTTCATTTTTCTCACGTCTGTCTCCATTTCTCGGTGCAATATGTTCTTTGGTCTTCCTCTTCTCCTTCGACCTTGAGGATTCCATGTGAGGGCTTGCGTTGTGACGCCGTTGGGTGCTTTCTTCAATATGTGTCCTATCCACTTCGAGCGCTCCTTCCTGATTTCTTCGTCCGCTGGGATCTGGTTTGTTCTCTCCCACAGTAGGTTGTTGCTGATAGTGTCCGGCCAACGGATCCGAAGAATTTTTCGTAGACAGCTATTAATAAACGCTTGTGTCTTCTGGATGATGGCTTTCGTAGTTCTCCAGGTTTCGGCCCCATACAGTAAAACTGTCTTGACATTTGTAATAAAAGTCCTGACATTGGTGTTGGTTGACAGTTGTTTTGAGTTCCAGATATTCTCCAGTTGTAACTATGCTGCTCTTGCTTTCCGATCCGCGCCTTCACATCTGCATCAGATCCACCGTGTTCATCAATGATGCTGCCCAAATATGCAAAGGTTTTTACATCTTCCAAATCTTATCCGTCAATTGTGATTGGATTGGTGCATGCTGTGTTGTATCGAAGAATCTTGCTTTTCCCTTTGTGTATTTTGAGACCTATTGCTGCTGAAGCTGGTGCTACACTGGTCGTCTTCTCCTGCATTTGTTGTTGCGTTTGCGATAGAAGAGCCAGGTTATCGGCGAAGTCTAGATCGTCCAACTGCATTCTGGCTGTCCACTGTATCCCATGTTTCTCCCCAGAAGTTGACGATTTCATAATCCAGCTGATCACCAGGAGAAAGAGAAAGGGTGAGAGTAAACAACCTTGCCTAACACCGGTTTTTTACCTCAAACGAGTCTGTCAATTGTCCTCCATGCACGGATTTGCAGTCTAATCCATCATAGGAATTCTGTATGATATTGACTATCTTCTCAGGTACGCCGTAGTGTCGAAGAAGCTTCCATAGTGTTGTCCTGTTCACGCTGTCAAATGCTTTCTCGTAGTCGATAAAGTTGATGTAGAGTGATGAATTCCATTCAATTGATTGTTCCACAATGATCCTTAGTGTTGCGATTTGGTCTGTACACGATCAATCCTTACGGAATCTAGCCTGTTGGTCTCGAAGTTTGCGTCTACGGAGACCTTCATCCTGTTTAACGATACCCTGTTGAAGACTTTTTCTGGTGTTGAGAGAAGAGTGACGCCTCTGCTGGAATGTTGTCTGGTCCTGCTGCTTTACCGCTCTTGATTTGTCTGATGGACATGCTGATTTCTTAAATTGTTGGTGGGCCATCATCGATAGGGAGGTCCGTGGGTACTGCTTCGATGTTGGGTGGGTTCAGTGGAGCTGGTCGATTCAACAGTTCTTTGAAGTGTTCTACCCACCTGTTTCTCTGTTCTTTGGTGTTGGTGATTATCTTGCCTTCCTTGCTTTTCACTGGTCGTTCTGGTTTACGGTGATTTCCAGAGAGTTTCTTTGTTGTTTCATACAGTTGTCTCATGTTTCCTTCTCTGGCAGCCTTTTCCTCCACCATTGCTAAACCCTCCACATATTTACGTTTGCCGGTTCTGATGCTCCTCTTCACTTGCTTGTTTACTTCTGTGTATTCAGCTTTTGCCTTGGCTTTTTCTGCTCTTGTTCGGCTGGTATTGATTGCTGCCTTCTTGTTCCTCTTTTCTTGAATCTTATCCAGTGTATCAACAGTGATGCAATCCTTGTGATGGTGCTTCTTTTGGCCCATAACCTCATGACATGTTGAAGTGATTGCCTCTTTTATCCCTTTCCAGTTGCTCTCCATAGTAGTTCCTTCTCCATTGAGTAGATCATGAAAGGCCTGGAACTTATTGCTGAGGGTTATCTTGAATTTGTTGAGTTTGTCAGTATCCCGAAAAAAGGCGGTATTAAACTTTTGTGCTGTTGTCCGCCCGATTGTCCGGTGCTTCCTGAGTTTCAGTTTCATCTTGGCGACCAGCAAGTGATGATCTGCTACTAAATCAGTTCCTCTCTTTGTTCTCACATCCTCCATTGTCCTCCTGAACTTTTTGTTGATGCAGATATGGTCGATTTGATTCTGCGTAGTATGATCCGGTGAAGTCCATGTGGTTTTGTGGATGTGTTTATGTGGGAATATAGTGCCGCCTATGACTAGTTTATTGAAGGCACATTGGTTTGCAAATCTCACCATTTTCGTTCCTTTCTCCCAGTCCATGTCGTCTCATGATGTCTTTATATCCTGTGTTGTCCATTCCAACCTTGGCATTTAGGTCTCCCATCAGAATAGTCAGGTCTTTTGTTGGGCACTTCTCTATGATTAATTTCAGCCTATCATAGAATTGGTCTTTAATGTCTTCATTGTAGTCGTTAGTAGGTGCATAGCATTGGATGACGTTCATTGAAATGCCCTCTTTCTTTGTTTTGTAGGAGGCTTTGATGATCCTTGGTCCATGAGATTCCTATCCTATAAGTGTATTTTGTGCTTGTTTTGATAGCATCAATGCAACTTCTTGTGTATGTGGGGAATTTTCTTCTTCATGGCCAGAGTATAACAGAAGCTCCCCTGAAGCTAGTCGTTGTTGTCCAACTTGCATCCAATGTGTTTCACTTATCCCAAGCACCTCCAGGTTGTGTTTCCTTATTTCTGCAGCAATTTGAAAGACTCTCCCAGTCTCCCACATTGTGAGAACATTCCATGTACGTAAATAAATGGTTGCTCTGGTTGTTATAAGGGGCACCGGCCTCGTGGCTTCCGAAGAAACTCGGCTTTCAACATGGGGCGTCATCACTGTTTTAAATGAAGACCTTTTGATTCTCAGGACAGAGTTTAATTGAATAATTGAATAATTTTTTCTGGTTAGCGTTTTTTTAGCGAGTTATTTTTCTACGGGATGGGGTCAATAACCTCATACTCAACCCTCCTCCTTTATCCGGGGTTGGGACCGGAAGTAGCTCCAGAGGGGCTCCAGGCGGAGTTAAGAATACACCTCATGTATGTATTTAATTTCAAGACTTAATTTATCTTAATGCTCATTAAATAAATAAATAACGGTTCGCGAGTAGGATAAGGAAAAACAGTGACCATCGTTGCATGAATTGAATCAATGTTCACCTTCATGTTGCAAATGAAATGTAGTAAAAGAATGATAAGAAGAATCTTACGGATGTCAATCTAAAAAGTGACATAAATTTACCGAGCGCTAGTTTGATTTTATCAAGTAAGGATTTTAAAAACACTTGGAATTAACTTATATTTACAGATTACGTCAAAATTTCGAAGTAATTTCCTTAAGAAATATGAGCACTTATATCCTGATGACAAAATGAGATGAAACACTTAAGACTGACTGGAGATAATTTATAATAACAGCATTAATTATGAATGGGTCATTTCTGCTTTTGCAATTTCTTACAAGTGCTAGATTGAACGTGTTGTTATTGTTAATGAAAAGCTGATTTCATAAGTTAATAATTTGCTGAAAATTTCAACCTCTGTGTGCATAATTGATAAAGCGGTTGACGTATGTTCACGTGGTTATTTGAATTTACCATTAAGGCGTAAAACCATGATGATAGTTGTTTTTTGTGATAGTACAAGTAAATTTCAACTTTAAATGGCTACGTCCTTACTTTGATGTCAGAAGTTTTTTGTTTTCATCTAAAATGAGTCACTTTTTACTTCTTTACCTTCATAGTTGCTAAAGTCCACTTCTTTTTAAACTGAGGACATTGTTCTTATTCGCTCAATAATGTTTGATTAACCCAACCAAGCGTAGAGTGAGAATAAAACTATGGGGTTTTCTGATATCTTAAAATATATAACTATAGCTACTTTGAGTTTGTTGGCAAAAGATTGATGTGCAAAATGTATGTTGTGTTACATGGATCGAAACTTTTCTTTATTTATATCCCACATTTTGATTGTACAAGTATTCCTTGTTTCACTGAATAATCTTAGTACACTTTCATCAATTAGCTCAGTTTATTAACTTTCAGTTATTACAAAACACTCTGATTAAGTCTTTCTATAGAAAATCTATTCTTGTCAATCTTTTTTACCTGTTGTCTTATCCGAGATCTATCTTTTTTAGGATAGTAGCTGCTGCAAGGAAAAATAGTCTGCATTCGTTTATTAAGGTTAATAACTGATTAAATGCAGTCATCTTGTCACTTATTGTAATTGTCAACATTAAAATCAATAGAAGGACTAGCTTAATATGTTTTTTTATAAAATGGATCAGTTCGAGCTAACACTTTGCTGAAGAATAATCAGTTAAAAATCGATTAAATAAAAAGTATATTAAAATTAAGTAATGTTAAAGATGATGTTACATTATCTAATTGGTACTTTCAAATTGATTTCTTCATTTTTTAACTGAAAATTTTTTTATTAAATTTAGTCCAACATTTATTTTTCAAGCTATATATCCTTAGAAATATTTTTCTTCTTTAGGACATATAGACTGGAAATAGCTTCTTCGGTTATAAAAGTTAACAATCAGCCACTGAAGTTGTCTTTAAAATTAGAAGATATTCTAAAGAACTATCCTCGTAAAAGTTTGGTATCCACCATTGTTTGCGCTGGGAACCGACGATCAGATATGATCAAGTATGATATAAAAAAGGCTGAATTAGAAGAACGTAGTCCTTATGTGAAAGGCTTATCGTGGTCTGAGGGAGCGATTTCTACGGCAGAGTGGACTGGTGTACTGTTAGTGGACTTATTGGCTTACCATCTGTTGCCTTCAAACCAAAGAACAAACTATCAAGCACTCTACGAATTGCTTAAAAGTGCAGGTGTACGTCACATTCGATTTGATGGTAAGCTGTGCATGAATACTTAACTATTCAATATTCCTGAGGTTAATTATACCCAGAATACAAGGAGATTTAGACTTTTTTCAACTTCTCGCTACTGATGTTTCCTATATTTGTTAGTTTGAAAGTTTTAAGAGCGATTTGTTATGCAGTTCAACTGTTAGAGTACATTGTAAACTGTTTCACTAAGAATCCGAGAACTAGATCCAAAAAAACATTAGTTTTCACTGAAGATAGAGTACAAAGGTTTCAGAAGGTTTAATAAAATATCGTTAAGTTCAATAAGCAAATTGGTTAAGAGAACGTAGAGTATAATGTCTTAATCGATAATCTTCTACAAATTTTTAGTGAAATCATTTGGACCAGGAAGTACAGCAGTTTCTAAACTATATCATATTCATCACATTAGATGGCAAATACAAGATTCTTTTGATATTTACTAATAGAAAATTATAAAACAAGACTGTGCTAGTCAATGTTAAGATGATATGTCCCAGATACAAATTTAATAAAAACCAATCATGTAAACACTAAAATTTAGTGGTTTTTGTCATTTATATTAGTTCATGCTGAGCTTTATGAATATTAGAGGAAGAACAATAGATATTTTGTTATTGTTTAAAAGATTCATATTTCTGTTATTACTGACTCTTACATCATCATAACTCATTTACTATTTTACCTTTTAATGGTTGAGATCATGAGTCAATTGAAGCTAGACCACCATAAAAACCCTGGAAGCACTGGTCTCTTCAACAGTGCGCATCGACGATCCCGCCTTGCGAGATTCGAACACAGGACCTATTAGTCTCGCTCGTGAGCGCTTAACCACTAGACCACTAGCCGACATCCAACGGTGTCAATGTCTAACTATATATTTTGATAAAATAATAGGATCTAATTACAATCAACATTAAAATTGTGATTGATCATTTATATTTCAATCAGTTAATATAAAGTTCATTTTTTCACTATCCACTGAATTAACGACTTCTATGAATCCGGTGTTCATCTTGTTGTGCTAATAACGTATGGCAACTTGGACCGATGCAGTTATGTGCCTGGTCCTACATTGTAACTGACTGACTGAATAATCTACTAAATATTTTTATTAAGTGTTTAGTATAAATTTCTGTTTGTTATTAGCTTTTTTTTTTTTTTTTCGACTGATTCAACTTGTTCCTTTTTAATAATTATAATATTAAATATCACTAATATTTATTTAATAAATAACGAATTGTTCATAAATGAACTTAATTAAAATCAATAATAATAAATTATATAAATCGATATAAACAATTATATGAGTGCATAATTGTAAAAATGGTTTTCTCTCTTCTCCTTCTAAATCATAGTAGTATTAATAAACTAGTTTTAAATAGAGTTAATTGTCTGAATATTTGACATTTACGTCTGCATTATTTTAGTTGCTTTCCATTTTCTAAAAATAGTTCTAATTGAGAAATTTATTAAATTAAACATGAAATTATAAATTTTTATGGTTTTTATAATTGTTTGAACTATTATCGTTTCAGTTAAATATGAATTCCAGTACGGTATATCCAATAATCATTGTAATTTCATTTTAATTGTATGAGGGCTATGGTACTGCCCAGGTGTCCAGACCGAAACAGGTGGTTTTCTTAGGGGGCCACATCCCGAGCTTTTAACCTAAAGGTCTGACCCACAAAGCAGTGGAGCAACATGAGGAGATTCAGTCCCATAGTAGCCGATGACCGACAATTAGTTCATACGCCATTTGTTCCCTCAGGATACTGGAGCCCATGTGCACCATTGATTTGGAGTCAGTGGACTCACCGTGCCCACGTCCTCTCAATTCCGTAAACAACACCCCGGACACGAGAAGGCAGTGAGTAGGACTTCCCTGGCAGAGGCTGTATAAGCGTGACCGTGCGAAAGTATTTCAAGAGGGAGGGCGGGCCATCCCCACTTTTGGTCGTACCAGGGCATTTGGGGGCGAAAAGTTCCATCTATCGAACATAGTTTGGGAGAAAGGTTTACTTTCTTTGTGTATGGGAGGCTACAGTAAACCAAATCGTTTAGTAATAATTTAAATGGTCTAAATACTAATCATATTAAAGTTAGCTTTATATATTGAGAACATTTTTATACGGTTTCCAGGGTTTGAATTTTCTCTATAAATAATATTCAGCTTACAAATTATTGAGATATGGTTCTTAATAGAATTATCATGTGGGACAATTTGATTTGCAAAGTATAAAAAAAGCGAAACAGTGTTGTAATGATCTAAAAATAAAAAGGAATTTAGATGAACACTTGTTGTTCTGCTAACTTCTTTTTTGCTTTTTGTACGTTTCTGTAAATGAAAGAGGAAATTGAGTGGCTCTGTATCTAATTGGTACTATGACTCTTGTCTAACACTATTGAGCTCCCTAAGTTGTATATGTCTATAGCCAATAACCTTTATCTATTCTATTTTGGCATGCTACTACATATACAGGAAAATCATTGCCCTATTTTATCCTTTTAACACTCACTAATATAATCAGTAGTTGCTATGAGTAACATTGAGGAATTATTCATAAAGTGGTTTTTTTCAAAAATAATAACATTTGCTTCATATTTTCTAACATTTCCTAACGTTTTTCTAATATAGGACTGGATATAGATCCTACTGGTGGAGCTTTTGGTTCGTCGTTACCAATTGATTTAGCTTTAGATCCTCAGAGGGAGGTAATCGTTGCTTTTAAAATGAACAATAAGCCATTAACTCGGGATCATGGTTTCCCATTGAGAATTATCATACCTGGTTCTATTGGAGCTCGTCAAGTTAAATGGCTAGGTCAAGTAAGTACTTTTCAAGTAAACGCAAAAAAGTTTGTATCCTTTCTTATTCTTGTTTCATTTATTCAAGAGCTGTCACTGCCACACATACAATCAAGCGAGAATTTCATTAAATTTCTGATCATTTTACATCAAGGGTAGTCTAAGAAAAATAGGAATAGTGAATAAATATCGATCATTATCATGGACTAGCAATCTATCTGACCTAAGTAGTGTTCGCACTTATCTATCACAAACCACTCACTGTGTTTTACACAATTTAGGCTACCTGAGTTTTCGTAAACAAACTTTGCACTCAAAAGAAGTCACTGCAACTACTTTAACTGTCTTTGTCAATATTATAATCCAATCATCAATTGAGTACTTAACTCAAGAGATGACCCTGTTTGTGTAAACCTACATTTTAAAGTATTCATTCTTATGTAACTACTGTTAATCAACCATTTTATGAAGGTTTGCACTTTTCTTATAAATTATCACGAGATATTTTATTTTTAAAAGCTGATATAGTTTGAAAGGTCAATGAAAACGAAAGAACTGTAAATAAGTGATTTTTCTTATTGCTGAACTTCCCAGTTGTGTCCTATGATAACCTTAAGTACTATTGAACCTTAGACCTTTACTTGTAGAAAGCATTATATCATTCAAACTGACTAGGCTAAATTGTGATCTTCCATTCACTCATGATTAATATGGTACATATCCAGTGTCACCAGTGGGTAACTCTCCCACTTTCTAATTGATCGACTCCATCTTGAAAGTGTCCTCTAATGAATAAACGACTATTATTTAGCTAAATAGTTTGTGGAGATTCGTTGTACATTGTTTCCTGGTTTTCTAACTAATGTGTGTTGTATTATCACTTTTGAAACATAGATATTAGTTTGGAGGAATTAATTGCAGCAAAATGTTTATTTTTTCTACTGGGCTTGAATTTTATACGACACTTATTTCGATACTAAGTCACGTAACGTCAGGAATTCAGTTTTTCTGCTCATCGGAATACTGAAAATATACCATTTTTATTTATTATTATTACTTTTGTACACAACTTAGTAATTTTTTATGTACGTCGAAATTTCTGTTTACTTTTTCATGCTGTTTCTGACATTCTTACTGCCATTAATAGATTTCAAGTATTGACTATAATAGCCTATGAATAGAAGGGTATCAATTTGAAGTAATTAAAATTATCGGAAGTTTTCAATTATCGAGTAAAATTAGTGTAGCGATCAAAAGTTATTTAGGAACTAAGTGATATAATAGTTACAAAGACAATAATTTTTATTTTATTTTATTTGAACACATAGATATTGGTACAAGGAGGCACCAAATACATATGCACCACACAGATCTCAATTGATTTGTATGAGGGCTGTGATACTGCCCGGGTGCCCAAACCGAAGCAGGTGGTTTTCTTAGGGGGCCACACGCCGAGCCTTCGACCTGTAGGTCTGATCCACAAGACAGTGGAGCATCGTAAGGAGATAAATTTTTATGATAGCCGGTGACCAGCGATTGGTTCATGCGCCATTTGTTCCCTCAGGATACTGGAACCCATGTACACCATTGGTTTGAAATCAGGGTTTTCCAACTCCCCTAGGTGGACTCTCCGTGTCCACCAACCCGGTTAAAGCGCCGGATATTCGCTTTCCGTCCTCTCAATTTCGTAAACAACACTCCCGCCACGAGAAGGCAGTGAGTAGGACTTCCCTGGCAGAGGCTATATACGCGTGGCCATGTGAGAGCATTTCGAGAGGGTGAGTGGACTCTCCCCACTCTTGGTCGTACCAGGGAATTCGGGGGTACAAAGACAATAAGAAATAATAATTCATACATTCATTGTAAAGGAAAACTGCAGAGAGAGAGATAGATAAAGAATGAAGTAATGATAAGCAATTATGATTTGCAAACTTAGGAGGGGTGCTATGATAACAAAAGTGTAAGGGATTGAACTTGACTCCTTTATGCACAAAGGTTAGGTTTGAAATAGTGAATTGTTGTAGCTTCAATTATGCATGAATTCCTCATCTAAACCTTAGAGCCAGTTGTTTCGACTTGAAATCCTAGTAACTTGCTACTGTGTTAGTGCTATTGCAGCGTAAACAGTAATCTTAAAATGTACTTTTATCTTATCCATCAGTTTGTTTTCTATCTGGGATATTTAGCTTACATAAGCGTTATCACTTCATATGTGTCGTTACGATTATTAGATTATATATATGAATACTTGTTTAAATGACATCGTCCTTATTGGATTATATCTATTCTAATTTTGGCGTTTTTATAACTATTAAATCGGTTGAAGTTATAACAGTACACTAGTTGTGATTATTATTAGCAACTCTACTTGTAAGGATTTTTTAGTATTTTGACTAGATTTTCTATCTTTAGACTACCCAATTGTTAGTGGGACATAGATTGGATTTAAGCATGCTCAATGCACGATTGCTTTGGCGCACGCTGATTGGCTGATTCTTATCCAACCAGCGCTAGTCTATACATGGAGAAGCTTCTAGATTCTTCTTATGTAAAAAGCTATAAATATACTAACGGTTTTCCTATTTTGCTTCTTGCTTCCACCTAACCTTGTTATTTGGAATATAATCTTCCTGCTCAATCGTGTTCTGATTTGGGGCCTTGTCGAGTGAATCTGTGTCCGTGAATACTAAGCAATAGGAATAGCTGGGTTATAACCGTAAGAGCGAAAACATAACACCAATGTATGAGTAACGTTAAATATTTTCCTCGTGCTGTTTGATATGGTCCCAAGTTTTAGTTGTGTTTTTGGATTTTGAATATCAATTATAATTGAGAGCTGGATTCGTATTTCATGTCTGTAATTTTAATTGATATTTACTATTTGTTTGTATCTTCCCATCGATGTTTAGGACTTCAATTGACAATCAGTCTCCCTTAACATATATGTATCCTATGCGGATCACCTTGATATAGCCAGTTAGTCACAAGGATTTTAGGGAGAAATGGATATTGGTCAGTATTGAAATCCGGAAAACCCGTTTCATCCCTTTTGGGATACTTCATCTGGATTTACCTGCATCCTAGAGTTGATGTTCACTCAGGATCTCGTACCCAGTACCTTTTGCTACGAACAACATCACGCTACCTACTTTTCTACTGAGTTGTGCAAAGAGGTGAATTTATATATATATATATATATATATATATATATATATATATATATAACTACGGTTAATCAGTCTATCTAGGCATCCCGTTGTACAAGCCAGTTTATATCTGAATTCAGTTTTGAAGTGGATAATACGTTTGTAGTGAAAGGTACTGGATACGAGTTCCTGAGTAGACATTAACTCTAGGATCCTGGTACACCCAGTTCAAGAGTTTTAAATAGAACTAAACATGTGTTATGGATTCCACTGTTAGCAACTATTTATCTCTGCTCAATATTGATGTTTACAGGTTGTTTGTTTACTGAACTCTACATACATTGTTTATATTACCGGTTTAGTTTGACAAAGCCCCCAAATGCCCTGGTACGACCAAGAGTGGGGAGAGTCCACTCACCCTCTCGAAATGCTCTCACATGGCCACGCGTATATAGCCTCTGCCAGAGAAGTCATACTCACTGCCTTCTCGTGGCGTGAGTGTTGTTTACGAAAATGAGAGGACGAAAAGCGAATGTCCGGCACTATAACCGGATCCCGAATCAATGGCGTACATGGGCTCCAGTATCCTGAAGGAACAAATGGCGTATGAACCAATTTTTTGGTCACCGGCTACCATGGGACTGCATCTCCTCACGATGCTCCACTGCCTTGTGGGTTAGACGTTCAGGTCGAAGGCTCGGCGTGTGGCCCCCTAAGAAAACCACATGCTTCGGTCTGGGCATCTGGGCAGTATCACAGCCCTCACACATATCAAATGAGATGTGTGGCGCATATGTATTTGGTGCCTCCTTGTACCAATATTTATGTGTTAAAATAAATAAGTTTGACAATAATGACTTCTGTGTAATGAACAGACTACTCCGTACCAGTTTCTAAGAATCTTATCATATTACTATTTTACCATGAGAGGTTATTGTGTAGAACATGTTGACTCTTTAGATTACATTATCAACAGACGAAAGTGAAAGCTTTTGGCAGCAGGGTGATTATAAATATGTTCTACCGATGGGTGATGGTAATGTCCCAGATCTGAAGGGCTTACCGGCTATTTTGGATTATCCTGTTCAGTCAGTTATTTGTAAACCTTCTGATGGCCAAATCCTCAAAAACACTGGGAGTGTAAGTTTATCAGGGTAGGTGTTCAACGGTCTTTACAAGAATTATCTCATATTTTTTTATTGATTTATTTTGTAATTCTAATTACTGTTCTTAGGTTTAGTAAATCAATCACTTGTTGATTAACTAATCAATATAGGGTCATAATTGACCACTGCATTCAGAAAATCTTGAATCTGAAACCTCAGAAAGCGGAATTTTTATCTTATAAGGATTACACAAATGAAATGATTCGTCGCACTTTATGATGTCGCTTACCACCGTGGTACGTGCTACTAATATAAACTAAAGTGGTGATTGTTATAGGTAGTACTTTTGCGTCTTGATATTTTCAGTCCTAATTTTTTAAGATACTTATTGTGCAGTTGTAATTTTGTCTATAGAATGAACCGTAAGAACTGAGGATGATTTGGTGATATGAATCACTTAGCGTTCAAAAAGAACAAAATAATTCGGCAAAAATTTTTTTAATGTAATAACGTCGATTTTTTGAGATTATAATGGATTGGCTGTTTTTCTCTAGATTATCCTCAGCAAAATACAAGCTTATAAAGTAACTGATTTACGTCGTTCTTGAATACTATGGTTTCTCATATTTATTACACTTTATAACCGGAAATTAGAGAAAGTTATATTGAGGATAATCACATTCTAACGATTCATATGTAATTTCATATAACGTTTTTTATTTATACATGTTAAATGACTTTACACATTAGCTATGCATTCAGCGGAGGTGGGCGTGGGATCATTTCCGTTCGCATTTCTTCAGATGGTGGAAAGTCTTGGTATGAAGCGAACTTGTCACCAGCCAGTCCTCCTGCAGCACAAGGTGATGTAACAGACATGGACAATGATTATTCTTCTAAAAACCGGAGCGTAAAACAATGGGCGTGGACAATATGGACTGTAGAGGTTCCTATTCCAAGCAAGTGTTGGATAATGCTTCCAGATGTTTTTGTTTGTTTTGCTTACATAGTTCGGAGAGCTGTGACTGCGGTTCGGACAGTTTTAGGTGGGGAATTGTGTACATAATTAGCGGTAACCACAATAATATTCGTGTACTTTAGAAGTCAGGTTTGAACACCCGCTATCAAGACATTTCCTCATAGGGTCAAGATCTCTTTAGTCACTCGAACTTGCACAACCGCCTATCATCATAGTCTCAAACATTTCCGCTGCAGCTCCCAGTGAAATGCATAAAATGTCCAAATATACTGGGTTACACTAAGCTGTGTTTGGGTTTGTACTGTGTCGTACTTTTTAATGTACAAGGATTTCAGTCATTCCTTGCATCTTTATGTCAGACACGTATTTTATGGACTCTGATGTTAAACGAGCGAAGATATTTTTCGTAGTTCTTCCTAGAGTCTTGACTACGTTTACTGTTTGATAATCTGAAATCGATGGCGACGGTAGGTAAACGTTGACTATGGTTGAGGCAACTCAACTGAATTCGAAGATTCACATCCCATTATTCTAAAATCCATTACTCATACTTCTGCACTAGAGTTTTTACATTTGGGACTAAAACCAGAAGCTGTCGGCGTTTAACGGTTTGGTTATATACTGTCACATTGCCACAACTAGTATAATGGTGTGGTACTTTATGATTTTAAAATCCGGCGGTTTAAAAACAATTTATTTCATGCAAACTCTTCGGATTGGTCAATCAAAAATTATTCGTTATTTTAATCACTGGAGTCTCTTAATCTAAAATAGATTATTTTTTCTAAACATTTTTTCAGAAGATATTTGTGAAGCAGAGTTTGTGTGTTCAGCTGTTGATAGCTCTTACAACACTCAACCGGAATTCTGCTCAGCTACTTTAAACATTCGCGGCTTATTGTCAAACTGTTGGCACAGAATTAATGTTAAATTCGACTCTTGAGGTTGAAAAAACTTGATTTTGATTCATAATTACTTCTTTGCAAGAATAATTTTAATTTTTAGATAACGCTTTTGGATTAAATTATATTTTTTTATATTTTTGGAGTGGTTTTCTAACTAGACATGTATGGAAACAGCATAAGTATGAAGTAACATTGAGTTTGATTTTTTGTCCTAGGCAAATTTTAGTTCGTTGCACTAAAGCTCACTGAACTTGTCATTCATACGCGGCGTAGAATATTGGGTGTGTGTGTGTGTATCAGTCCACGTTGCCACATTATATAAGTACAGCGGGATCATGACAACCTCCAGGTAAAGAAATAGTAATAGTTTGAGTAGCAGTAGAAAATATAGGGAATACGTTGTTCGTACGTATTGTGCGTTGTAGCAAATAGTCTTCAGTATGTAAGAATTAGGTATTAGTACACCTATTTACGCCACTAGAATCATCAGCCTAACTTAGTACTTCAGATTCCGTGGTCTATAAGATCTTCAAGCAGCCCGTGCTGGATCGTTCTATCGTAACGGCAGCGTACTAATTATCAGCTATTTAGTATAAAATGAGGGGGTTGGATGAAGTGACTACACCTGAATTCTGAGCCGTGCAGCTTCTGCCAAGTGTTCCTACGTCCATTTTTTCTGACGAAGTATAAAACAGTTACCACAAATCCTAGCTAATGTATGTTAAACTTGAGGGGTCATGTGGCGAGGGACGTATGATTCTTCTAAATCTCTCAATGTCCCTGCTCACGAGTAGCTATCTTAAGACTACGTTTTCTAGATACATCCAGAAGGTAATAAGCTCAATTACGTAAAAATTATTATGACCTCAGCCCATGTATTAAGCCTATAAAAAACAAGTCTAAGACATTTATACGATGACGAATACACTATTGGTATTAGAATGAGAGTGTAATAGTAATATCATCTTCAATGAGATGAAAGAAAGATACACATAACCCTGAGCTACCAACTTTGGGGAAACTCTCGAAGTCAAATGACCACCAACGTCTGGGAAAATCCCCAATGTCAAATGACCCTGACCAAGGTTAAAGGGGAACATTGGGGAATTTCCCCAGGTCTTGGGAGATCATGGGGTTTTTGTGCCATCTCCCCAAAGTTTACTATAGCGGCTTCCCCAAAATTGGGAGCTCGGGACTGCATATTAAAAGCGGGGCAAAATTTGTTTATTATGCAAAAGGTGTACCGGCTGGGGTTTTTTATGCGCGAAGGATATTACACTTAATTCCCAAGCGAGTCGTACGTACAGTTGCTTTACTACATGCAAACTCTTCACGTCAAGTTTTTCCTCCCCGCCGTACACCCACTTCTATACATTTCCAAACCGATCGACAAAGGTTAGTAAAACTCCACAACATCGATCTACAACATTGCTTAGTAACAAATTTTGCTACGAATGAGTGAGGTCACTGACCAACGGACCCTCGACAAAGGCCTGTTTCAACACCTTTTCTTGTCTAGGCTCCAAAAAAAGCAGGAAATGCTTGTCACATTCCGAAACAACGCTGTAGACTAAATGGCTTTATCTACCAATCAAAATCCGAAGATCACTTGAACATCACCACCGAGGTTTATTCTGTTAAAGAGGAGACTCAACACAAAATTATTTTACGGATATGTCACACTTGACTCGTTATCCAAATATTCGAATTCGAGTATGCTCGTCACGAAAAGGATCTGTCGCTAAACCACGAGAGCCAGATGAATCTGATTGGTGCTAGTACCACAATAAGTGCGGCAAGTCATCTAGAAATCTCAGAAAATCATACAATTTCTCAATCCCCAGACCATACGACACGTAAAACGTTTCGCGAAACCCTCTCATCGTCGCACGTTAACGGCAGCCATCTATTATACATAGCTGATATGATAACGTAAGTTCACTACCTCTAACAACATCTAACGACCGACTGCACGAACCGATTTTCAACTTACGGGTGGAAAATTGGAAACTGATCGCCACATATGGTAAGCGATATGTTTATCTCGAAGTGGATTTGTAGAATTATGATCTACTATGATATTATAACTGCTCTAATAATAGACTTAATCCGATCAACTTGAATCCATTCAACTCATTGTTCCCGCCTTCTCCCTCGTTGGGTTTTTCTCCACGTTAAATGTTGAACATCTATTTTCCCAAGTGTCTCGTGTTCAGCATTGTGTGTTGTTAAGGCCCAATACCACTACAGATTTATGCAAACTGACTGGATCCCTGTTGATGCAGATGTTCCTATGCCAATCACTGGTATAGACCTGCCACAACATCATTATCTACCCATTGACACGCGTAAACGTAAGTTAATAGACGAAAATACTAGTTTACCTGCACAACACATCACGACTATAGGACCATATGTATTCTCGAACGCGCACCGACTAGCGTCCTAAAAGCTGAGGTTGGGAAGTATTCGGCTATCCAAAAGCTCATGTACATCTCCCTTGCACATGGTCCCTAAAACGGATAATAATGACTAGCATCAAACTGGTAACCACCGGCGACTGAGTACGAAAACCACTTACGTTACTTGTTGCCCCACATCTAAGATATGATAACTACCTTAAAAAACAAAACTGATCTTTCCAAAATCGATCGGGTTAAACGTATGGCCAATTTTCTATGGTCGCAGAACCTGAGATTCATCGATGACGTCTTTCAAGATCTCAAATTCGTATACACACATTTGATGACTGCTCTTTCGGACAGAGAATCTCAACTCCAGCATGTGGATCTTGTTTTCGAACGATTGCAAAAATATGACATTACTGTAAAAGTCCAGAATTGTCGGCACCGATTCTTTAGATTTTCTTGGATATACTATTAACGCTCAAAGCATCCTATTTCTGAAAAGCAAAGACGGCGATTCTTCATTACATGGAATCAACCGCAACCAAGCAACTACGCACGTTTTACGGACTGGTAAATTTCTATGGACGGTTCATACCAATTCGCGTGTCCCTTATAAAACCTCTGACCGACCAGCTTCATGGACAAGCGAAACCCATCAATTTAGACGATAATGCAAAAGAAGCATTCTTCACAATTAAGGGACTTATCGCAAAAGTAACTATGCCTGCGCACCCGGACACCATAGCACCCATTATTATCGCAGCAGACGAATCCGATTCGGCAGTCGGAGGTTTCCTACGACAATGAGTTAACCGGGCTTGGCAGCCATTAGCGTTCTTAGCAAGAGACATAGCACTTGTGGTAGGGAACTCTTAGCCATCTGTTGTGCTGTACATCACTTTCAACACTCGGTTGAATCCCAAGAATTCACTCTTTTCACCGACCACAGATCTCTTTCTTTTTAAGCCCATCTTCAGACAAGTACTCCACTCGAGCGTTGGACTACATTTTTCAGTTTAGATCAGATATACAATACATTTCTGAGGCAAACGATGTAGTCTCAGACGCCCTGTCTCGTTTAAATTCCTTGAACAGTTTCCAAGACATCGATCTTTTTAAACTCGCTCAGCTTCAAAAAGAAGACACTGATCTTCAGCAAAATCTATCTTCGGCAACAACGAAACTGCGTTTTAAACAGATAGGAACATGTTAGAAAGCTTTACTGTGCGACACATCCACAGGTAGGGATCGTCCAATCGTGCCGAAAAATTATCGATGCAACTTTTTCAATATGTTGTACAAACTTTTTTATCCAGGTGTTCGAACAACTATCAAGCTCATAGCGAATTGAATTTTTTGGCCTGGTACGAATAAAGGCGAGAAAGAGTGAGCACACTTCTGTGTAATCTGCCAGAAATATAAGGAGATTAGGCACAACAGAGATCCCTTAGGCTCTTTCAAAACTCCCAATGCTCGTTCCGACAATGTTCATCTAGATTTGGCAGAACCTTTACCAGCTTCAAATGGAGACTCTTATCTCCTAACTTGTGTTGACCGCTCCCCATGGTGGCGAAAAAGTAATATTTATCAACAACACTACTTCGGAAATAGCGGCCTGCATCTCCGTCAAACGATGGGTAACAAACTTCAGCTACCCTTCAACTATCACTAAGGTCCGTGGATGTCCGTTTGAAACTGGAATTTTTCGTTGTCTGACTAGGAATCACACGACTCAGAACGACCACCTTCCTCACTTTTCCTTATCATTCGCGATAGATTTTTACTTATGTTAACCCAGTATTATATCAGTCCTCTTAATAATGCTCACGTGTATTATCGTATTGTAATGTTGATTAGTACTCATAACTTACTAGCTCAGTAGACAATAATAACAGTTCATCTATATTAATCAGCCAAGATGGTTTATTAACTAGCTTTAATAGCATTTACATGCTTCAGAGAGATAAACTTGTTAAAGCATCAAGCTCTAGCAAGTATGATCTGTAAATAACGTAAACATACATTGACTAGCAACGTATGCAAGGCCTGAATGATTATCTGGACCTAATTTTTCATATACTTCCTTCACTTAACGTTTTAATCTGTTTTAAAGTGTAGTGTGTTATCGAGTCGTGATTGACTATGAACACCACTACAAGAAAACTACGTGCCAGTTAACCATTACGATCCCCACTGGTCAATATCAGATAGCAGATGATGGCCGTAGTCGAGATGTATTTGCTGGCGATCTCGTGGTATCAAAAGAATACCGAGATCGTGCCAAAGGAGTACAAGCGTGGTTACTAAACGTAACCGAATTTGTACAAGTTCAAATTCAACGGGATAGAGAGAGTGTAATGGCTGTCGTTAGTACAGTTAAACAAACGAGCACAGTAAAACAATCACTGGTACAATTGGTTATAATAATAATTGTTTTCATTGAACCAATCGCGTTCTGTTAGCAAAAGTAGGTCACTACAGGAGCCCCCCGCTAGAAAGGGTTTATACTTTCGATAGGTAGCGTTTCGGTTCATGGAACTGATCGGCAAAAGTGCGGTTGTAGGACATAAGAATCGGCGAAACAGGAAGCGATCGTCGATCCTCGAGTTGCCAAAGAAAGTCTTTTGCGTAGAACGATACCATGAGAAGCGACTTTATTTGTTGCTCGAGTCAGCATACCATACAAGAGTGGTTTGTATCCAGGGTCTGAAGATTGCGTTCGTAGGGA